GCATGCAAAAGAAACGTCATATTTGACTCTTTCAGTCAACTATTTTGGAATGCGAACTCAGCTCTGTCACGATTGAATGTGTGCTACACTGGCCAAGTGGCAAGGATACCCGGCCTACACCCGGGCGGCTCGGGTTCGATTCTTCGGTACTGAAAACATTTTTTTTTTCACAAACATGCATACCCAATCCAGGAATTGGACATTAGGTTATTTGTAGGTGTAAGAGTTTTTTCTTAATTTTTTTGAAAAGCCAACTTATACAAAAATGGTTCAGGTATGCGCAGTATATGGAACGAACAGGACCATTTAAACGATCGTTATTTATTTATTGTCTCTCGTCTGGACCCTCAACGGGCTTTCGCCGAATTAGAGGTGCCCCTGAAGAAGGTCTTAAGTTGTTATGTACTACTCCGATATTTGCCTTACGAATTAGGAAAGCTGCAGAAAAACCTAATTCGGAGTAGGTAGTCGGCAGAATGCTCGAAACTGATCAAAGGAAATTCCCATCTCTGCCACAGATGAAAAATTCTTACCTAAGCCCAGGTTCGAATACTCGACCTCCGACTATGTAGCCCAACGCTCTAAGTGAACGGTCTATTTCTATATTTTTTAAAGAGATGATCAATTGTAAACTGAAAGGAATCTGATCCACGTAGGTTACTGTAAGTTGTTTTTGAATTTTTTGCACCGTATGAATTAGTGGTCGGTTATTTTTAGAAATTTGCATATTGATTTTGCTTAAAGTGATTTTGATATTCCTGAAGAACTCGACCCATGAGAACCATTTCTATAATCAGATTCTGTATTGTATTTCATTAATTGATAAGATCGGATCTAATTGTGTTACGGTGATCGGGAATTTTCATGTAATTTCAGTGTTACCATTCCTTTGGTTGCATTGAGATTTTGCTTAACATTAGGAAGGATTTATATTTCTACCGAAGAATGTACCAGTAATTTATGATGTAATAATAAAATCTCTAGATAAGGAACAAGTTTAACAGGGACACGTGATCACGCATTTTCTTATATTCCTTTTTTATTAATCAAACCCATATTTTGTATACAGGAACGTGTGAAAAAATGGAACTCCATCGCTTTTGTGTTGAAATCATATGCGTATCTATTAGAGTTGGAATTTCAGTAAGAGACCAAACTTCAGTAAGGTAAGGGGGTATAAAAAACATTGATATTACTGAGCTAGCCGTGGGTAAATTAAAAATTAATTGTTACGATGGGATTTGTGCCAGTGCCGTAATGATTCAATGTTATTTTATGCAAGTGGTGTCTTTAACACCTGCAAAGGAAATTAGTCTGTTACAAACTGCTGTCTTATACTAAGTTATGCAAAACTCAGTGCATGTCTTTTTCTAAAAATCACTTTGAATTACAGATTGGTCATTAAACTAGATGGAAGATCGTTATATATATATATACGTGCGTGCATTAAATTTTTAGGGATTTATTTTGATTTTGATTGGAATACTGAAAATGATAAAATTATAAACAAATTATGCACCTATTCAACTATGTGAGGTTATTAACTACGAGTAAGTAATTATCGTACCGAACCGTCCAGCTGGAGCTAAGGAAAATGGAAACGAAATTTTACATTTTTCAGTTTTTGGTGATATCTCAGTTATTGTAAAGATTTTTCCAAAATTTCAAATGCGTTAAAGGGCCAAGTTTGCTCCCATTTAACCTACTCTGCATCTCGCATCGTTACGTTCCAATGGTGAGCCACGAATTGATCCACCCTGTACATATCACGAGATTGAAGTGTCATTTAATCCATTTGTAACATTTCATACGCGCAATTCAGTGGTACACCTCAGTCCCTTGTATAAACACATAGACAGTCATACCAACACACTGGTATCCAAAAATGGTACTTTCGATTACTTTTATATTCTCGTTAGTGCGAGTATTGCAGATGTGCAAATTTGAGGTATTTTAATTCACTCAAGAGCCATTTGTAGGGAATTCAAGTATTTGTACGTTTTGTTGTTTGGTGTATGTAGAATAATAGAGCTCACGTTTAGTCGTTATGCAACTATTCTGGTTTCCCATGTTTGCATTGCAGTTTCAAGAGGATTATTACATACTCCAATACGGGGCAATCGGATGGCATTGAAATTATAAATGCAGTCTGCTGATCTATTTGTGTATTAGCATTCACGTACATTTTTGTTCAGTAAAAAGCGCAACATTAGCATTTATTTGGTTTATTTTTATCGTGTTTCGAGTTTACCTACTTTTGCTGGTAGCAATAAATTAAAACGTGAAACATATGAATGAGTGTTGGGGATTAGGATTGTTGTGCAACCAAAACAGGAATCACTGACGAGCGCTATACGATAGTTTTTGATAACATTACTGAACCCGCATAAATTTCATAAATACATTCGTGAACGATTTTCTCCGAATAGGCATATGAACCACTGAACCTGGTTCTTCACTTAAAGTTTTAACCTTACCATTAGATATGCCCAGTCCAGATGTTTCAATAGCCCTTTGTGAGTACTCTCCTCCGTCATTCCAATCTCGAGATATTCGCACTGCAGGTTTTGACATCACCAATAGGTATATTTTGACCATACCTCCCAATCGCCCTTTGTAGGTAATAGTACCATCCTCCGACAATCTACTCTTGAGATATAAGGAATTATACCGATTACGATAAGGGGTCGAGGAGGACTATAGTTGGTAGAAATTCATTCCTTTCGTTGAGACCTTTCATTAGAGTACCATGATAAAACCCGCCCCCCCCCCTCCCCCCTCATGGAGAGTTCAGTTATAGAAATTCCCGAGGACTTGAAACGATAGGGCATTTTTACGTAATTTTATTTTTTATTTTCTTCCATTAAAATACGTGGAAGGAAACGTTTTCAAGTTTACAAACGGTTCAGCAAGCGTACACATTCGGTGCCCCGTTGACGAACAATTGTTTCGTTTTACATGATAAAAAGAGGTTATATAAGGTTTCAAATCTTACGCTGTAAATTAAGTTTCTTTGAGAAAGAGATAAATACATTTCTATTGAGTCATCGCTTTTTATAGACCACTTTAGAGTTGGCAAACCAATGAAAATGAACGAAGGATCGCCGCCATTGCTTTCTACAGTGTATGTAATAGGCGTTTTAACTTAGCTCAATATAGAGAAGTCTGGTTTGAGCCGTAGAACGAGTTAGAGGAGGATTCTGGTCTGAGCGGTGAAGGCGAAAAGATTCGCGTTTGATTCGTAGAGCGCGTAGGAGATTCTGTGTTGGTCAGTACGGCGTTTTCCTAAAGCAGTCCAAGTAAATAAATCCAGCATTCGGGATTCACAGAGCTTAAAGCGAAGAAAATAATTCAATTAAAAGTGACCACTGGTGTCCAAGTTTTGCATCCAGTAGCCATTTGGAATTTATTAATTCCCTAAGTGGAATTAAAGAGTGTAAAGTTACCATTTTGGATTATTATAAAGTCAGTGCGTTTCCGTTTTCGCTACCCTTAGTGAAACCGTATTTTGCGCACATTATTTTGCGAGAAAAGTTGCCTTTCTAATAAGGTTTGTGTACTATAACATTTCCGCCAAGGAACATTTATATATTCCAGTGTCAAAGTGTCAACAATTCGCAATCGTGTCGAAACTTCGTTAATAAAGACACTACTCGAATTTATAGATAACGTGCGAATTCAGAGGATTCCACAAACATTTTACGCGCTCTCCGTAATGCCACCGCGTAAATAAAAAACTTACACCAATGTCCCGTACAAAGCAAAGTGCAATATAGAAAACTGATAGCACCTTTTAATTAAAAAATTACGTTTATGCCGTTAATGTTAAAATTAATCAAAGTGAAAAGGTTGTAAAAGGAGTTTCCCACACACTAAACCTGAAGGTTATAAATAAACATTTAAAAGCAAGTTTATTCTAGGGCTCGTTTATGTTATCAACCACAAAAAAAATTTGTACTGATCCCAAAGGATCACAACCGAAATCGGCGAATCAATCGATAAGCATCAAAGACGTCTTCCCGGAAGCTGCAGTTGGAGTCATTCGTACCGTTGGGTTTTTTAAGAATGCATCCAAAGAAATCATCATGTGTTAAACCACCCCACTAACTGTAAGAACTCCACGTCCAGGGAGAAGTCGTCCACATAAGTTTCGTTATGCAATTGTATGTAAACCTAAATCGCCAGCTTTGCGATCATTTCGATAAAGGAAATTTTTTGACTTATTATTATTACCATTAAACTGTAAAGTTGTTTGAAAACTTATGTAAAAGATTGTTTGTATATTTTTGTATTCTCATCGAAAGAAATCTCTGAGTTTGTGACCAGTCTTCCCAGACTTTTTATTTTTCGTGGAATCGAAGCTAATTCCAATTAAATCTCAGATTGAAGAGATCGAACTCAATAGGTTTCCACTATTTATTTCAACGTAAACCAAATTAAGCTGTGTTTGAAGTACCCGTTATGAACAATCTTGGTACAAATTAGAGAGAGATGGCCACCTCTACCTTGGAAGTAATTACTCATGCCTGTACTAGGAAGAAATTTAATGTGTAACCAATTCCATAAGAAATTACGATATGTTATTCCACATGTTTCTCATAAAATGTCTTACCTAAACCTGGGCCCTTATTCTTGAGTTCGTAGGAGTATAATGAGATTCAAAAGCAGATGAAATTGACCTCAGCAATATTGTTGACGAAAATCGTCGATTTCATCGTGATCCTGAGATTGTTGAAGAGAACACCGTTACATCAACCTCTTGGATTAGTTAGTAAGTCTCCTGTTAGACTTGGGTTTTCATTTTTCAATGAACCGACAGCTGTTCGAGATACTTTGAATTTTCGAAGTGGAAACAAGGAGGAATCGTTTTCACCAGTTGTTCGTTACACTCAGATAGATACTTCACTTCATGGTTATTTTTATTCTTTTGGTATGAAATGTATTAATTACATTATTTATGAGGCGAGCTGTTAAGGGCATGTAACGGAATAAGGCAGAAATGCAGAAGAAAATTTATTTCTGAGGTCAAGATTTCAAAGTACCGTTTTCAGTTAATAGTAGTATCCATAACCTAGAATAGATACACATTAATTACGTTAACAATACCTTACTTTACGATTTTAAGTGTACCTAATCCATAGTACGGCATTCGAATTCCGTAACCGTAGTTCCAGAATTGCGGTCTTGGTTTGGGGATTGGGTTGGGATTTGGCGATGGATTGGCGGCGGCCAAAGCGAAGAGAGCCAGTACAAATGCAATCTGCAATTACACAGAATGGTATATTGAAAATAATAACAATTAAAGACATCTTACCAAAAATACAGCTTTCATTTTTACTTCTATTGCCTGAGACACTGAATACTTTTTACTCGGGTACGTCTTGATTATATAGGTACGACTAGTGCTATTATATCCCCATTAAAGATTAAATGACGCTCGTATCTCTTAATTTACGTTAATTTTCATTTATCTCATCTTTGTTAACTTCAATTTAATTACCAGATATGATATGGAGATACCACAATACGGATACTTGGAAATTGGAAATTTGTTTCCACAATAACTGCCCTTTGGGCCAACATTTTTGGTTGAATAACATTCATTCATAGTTTTTGTATGTTGAATGAAAAGGTTGGCGAAGCTAATTGGTGTCATTTGAAGAAAATTCAGCCAAAGAGAAAAGAAAAAGGAGCGATTAACGAGTTTTTAATACATCCTTTTAATAAAATGGTCGACACTTCGTCGGTTAAGACTTATTCAAAACGTTGACATGGTTAAAATGTTGTTTTTATGCGCAGATCTGCAATTCACCTAATAAATTGTGTTTTTCGTCGACCTCTCGATAACAATATAAATTACTCCTTAGTGACGAGTACAATGATGAAGCTTATTAATCGTTAGCAACCATTAATGGTTAGCAACCAACCATTATACGTTAGCAACCATTAATCGTTAGCAACCACTTATACATAACAACCATTTTATTAAAGGGAAATGACAATTATATAACAATTCACTCTCGGCAACAGCTGAGAACTTCCATCCACCTAACCATTTTAATCTCGGTTTTAATGTAGTGAGATCAGCAGCCAGTATGGTCGCCAAATGATCTCAGCAAAGCATATCCTGATGTATGTATGTGTAGCTCCTCGGATAAGGATTGTTAAGGTATTCAGTTACTTTACCTTCAACATTGAGTACGTCCACCACAGGGATGAACATTTCCATATCTTTCACTGTTACTACACGTACTTTAGTACAGTTGCAAAAGAATTAATTACATTCTAATTTCACATACCTTTTCAAGGTAAAATGTCAACGTGACATTTTCGGAAATATCTCCTTTCAAATTCATTGTGTTCCATCAATTGCCGAACTGATCGAAACCGTTCCAATAAGTTTCTTTTGATTTGAGTGGATATAAAATGTTAAAATCGTCTCCGCAGCAGAGCAAGCAACATAATCTTCCACTGCGATTACGAGGCTGACGCACAGAATATGAAGGTCTTATTCTGTGGACTGACGGTACAGCATAAAACAACACATTACTATAGCAACGACAATAGCTGTAATTTAGTGAAAAATCGTCGGAGCTCATAATTTCGTTTGTAATTTCTTGTAGTTGAATTTAAAATTCCCTACCCCAGTGAAGTCGACGAAAAAACGTTGTATGCAATTCATGTATAAATCGGCGGTTATTGGTTCTTTCGAATTTAGTCCACTCGCTGCGCTCGTGGACTAAACATCTCACTCGCCAATAAAACGCCTCATTTATACACTGATTGCATAAATAACTATTTCCTGTCTGTCATGGAAACTAAGTTTTCCTGACAAAGTAGGCATGAAAATGAAGCTTTCATGACGATTTTGTGTACGTTTGTCAATGAATTATTTGTTCTAAAGAGTGTTTTTCGCCTCGATGTTTGGCGTTGGTTTTGAATGACACGCTGGAAATAGGTCGTGTTAAGTTACTTCTGCAAATCTGCAAATTAAGAACAGCTTGGTAAAAACAACTTGACATTACAGAATTCCCGATTCAGTTGCCAGCCCTGAACGCCTTTTGAACCAATGAAAATTAATAAAATACCGCCGCCATACTATTCCACCATTGAGCAGGCGTATAAAATTACTTAGTGTTTAGAGGGATTATTTTGCGCAAGATTAAAAAATTCGCGTTTAGGTAACCAAGCTGAGCAGACAGTCCAAGGAGTTCGAATAGCGGCCGTGAGCTGGTAAAGAGATTCGAAAATTAGCGTTGGGGGAGGTCCAGATGGATTACCATTGGGTTAACCGAGCTTAGAAAATGATTTAGGTAAATTAAGGGCCACCTCCTGGTCCAGTTAGAAATTTTCTTGAAAAATCAGCATTAGTTGTCCAAGTCGAAAAAAATACGGTGTGTGGAAAGCGTCTTACGGGAACGTGAAAAGTTTGGCACACTTGCGAGTGCGCGACTCTGCCCTAAACCTTTTCAGCTCTTCCTTTTATGTCTAAGAATATGTACAAATTTGGTTCCAATCGGTTCAGCCATTTAGCTGGAAATGAGGGCACAGACAGACATACAGACCGATCGACAGAATCGAGATTTTGTTTGATTAGGATTCTAGGTGCTTCAAAACGCGCATTTCCGTAAAAAAAAGTGTTGGGGGGGTTCATTTTTGTACCCCAATGCAATACCTCCCTTACCAACGTTCGAGTGGCAAAAAGGAGGTGAAATTAATTTATGCGGTACACGGAGTTACAACAAAGAAAACTGTTTGTAAGATCAAACTAGTTCATTATTAGTGCCCCTAACGCAAAATGCAATTTGGTGTAAACGCTTATCTAAAAGATTTCCTCAAATTTAAATGAAACCTCGTATTTGTGTGGTACCTCAACGAACTATGATTAATTCTACTATTAATAAAGACCACTTACGATTTACTAAAAGCGAACTATTTACAGAAAAATAAATCTTTCAAACCACACTTGCTAATACTACAAGATCCCACATAAGGGCAACCTTCGCTCATCTGCTTACCGAAGAAATATATCTTTAGCAATCTTAAAATCCTAAAAAAAATAAGAGTACTCTTAATTAAAATTAATGTAATTCATATTTCTGTCTGCTTCTAACACATGGAGAGAGCGCATGCGCATTACCTTACATCGATGCGTACACCACGATCTCTTTTACACGGAACAATACACCCGTTTCTCTCTCGGGCGCTACTTTGGATTGCGACAACCGTATTGTTCAGTGTCTTGACTTAATTTTCCAATGTGATTGTTTACATATTAAGATTGCTAAAAAATGTATTTCACTCGGTAAACAGATGAGCGAAGGTTGGCTTTATGTGGGATGTTAGACGATAATAATCGAAAATATTTTAGAGGTGATACCACCTTCACAAGAAAATCACTTGACCACACCCCATTTCATCATATTTATGTACTAACTTAATCCACACAGATTTGGATAAGGATAATAGATATGAATTTCCTAAACCTAAACAATTTCTGACAATTTTGCGTTATACACCGATAACGTTGATAAATTACGGTGTTACGCCCCACGATCACATTTAAATGACGCACCTAAAGCTATCCATACACCACCCCCTTACAAACAACTTAGAAACATCAAACATTTTACTGTCTGGAAACTATACGTTTCAATATTATTATAAAAAGAGGTCTCGCCGTCAAGAGTCGGCATTCAAAATTAATAACGCCAGTATAACACGAAAATACGTAGGCAATATAGGCATTAAATACTAAACGTTGAGCTTCATTTTATACTTTAGTCTCCTATTAAATTAAATTGAGATTATTAAAGTAGATTAATAGGATTTAAAATGAAAGCAGTTGATATAACAGAGAACTGCAGAAACTCAATCGTGGCAATAAATCTAATTTAATTTCCGGAATAATCAAGCACTAAAAAGTATTAAACGTCTGCAGTATTCGGTTTTAGCATCCGCTCTAATTGCAGTTCTTAATTAAAATGAGTATGCAGCTGTACTGTATGTGTCTATACACAATAAAATTTAATATAATATGTTTCGAAATAATGGAAGATTTTTTTGCAATTTCCTGAAGGGCTCCAGGCCAGGTAAAAAAACGGAAGGCAGCGGGTGCGTTATAAACATTTCGGTAGATCTATAGCGAGCGTAATTTTGAATTAGTTGTAGGGTAATCCGATGGAAAGTGGCGGGAATATATTATTGCTCCACCGTGCGGTGTCATAATTAAGGCGTGCTGTCGTAATTTCACTTCTCACTTGCATACTGATGTCCTCATTTATGGTTAGTGTTAATTTTGCGAATATTGTAAGTCATACTCATTCAATATCGTTCACTTTTTTCTTGCTCTGAATGGATTGTAGCTTATTCTCTCTTCGATCATTGCCTTGCATAATATAAAACATTGTTATAGAAAAACGTCAGAGCGTGTCTATTGCAAGCAGCGTGTACATATTGTAATGTAAATATGTGATTTATTTATATAAAATTAATTATTAATGTCCACAGGAACTAATGCTATTAGAATTATAGAGCTATTTGCAGCACATTAAATTTAACGAGTGCGGATTTCATTATTTATCACTTCGACATAGATGTTAAGACTGAGACGAAACAATTCAATTTGCTTATGATTCAGAAAATTCTTGAACCTCTGGATATCATATTTCATGGAAAAAATGCCTTAAAATTAACTGCATTGCTAGATGTTACTATCCAACAATAACATTCCCCTCCACGTTCTTATCACTAATCATTTTGGTATAAAAGGATGATCCTCTGCTTCACAAGACATTTCTTCCTGTCACTTGTTGATCTGAGAACCTGATTTCCAAACCCGTTCACAACCTAAAAACTTAAAACAATTCATTCGCTTTCAGTTTATTATTTTCCTGCATCATATACCGTCGTCGCCGCCCAATTCCACTTCATCAAATGCGTTACGGACGATTAGCCTCCAAGATCGGTAGCTTGAGACTAGTGGGGCCTCTCACCGTTTGCGATTCTATGGTTTCGTTTCCATATGATGTAAGATATATTTAACAGTAGCATGAAAGACCGATTTTTACTAACATAAAGATGTGCTAGTAAATTCTCACTGACAAACTGTGTCACTTATTGTCAGAAAGGAATATAAAATGGTGCTAATTTGCAAATGCATGTTTCAATTAGCTCCAGTGGTCAGATAGATGTGTTTCTTTTGATCATTCCCCGTTTTTACGAGATATACCACCGTTAGTATGGGAAAATGTAACGGTAGCCCTAAATTTGGAACTAGTTTTTTCGAATTTTGTTCTGGTAAAATAATAAGCCAGCAAGATTGTCAAGGTCGGTTATCTTCATTAAATGATTAGGGATATTACAATTGCGAATTCGGCATGA